GTGAAAGTGCTTGGCCAGCTTTAGGAAAAGTGATTGTCCTGTGTGGGTGGAAGGCCAGTCCCTGGAGGATAGAAGACTCTTAGGCTGGGAGGGTAAAGATGCTGGAAAACCTTGAATGCCATGCTAAAAATGTCTGAACTGTGGAAAAAATGATCTACTCTGGTATATGTATGAGAAGAGCAGATTATATCTAACGGCACCATCAATTTGAGTTTGGAACAGCCATACTAAGATATTCACCCTGAGCCACATTCAGCTCCTATCCTAAGAATGGGTATAAAGGAGGAGGTGTCTGACAACTGTGGGTTATCAACTGGTCGGTAACTCAGACTGGCTGTACTACTCATGTTCCAGGGTTGGTATTTCAAGAAAAGTCTCTAATTCAAACCCATATGCTACTAGCTGACCCGTCTCACTAAAGTCAGGAATGAGGACCTAACAATCAGGAAACTTGTCTGGATAAAACTTATATAAAAGGAATACACTGGATATATGATTTGTTGCTATATGGAATGGTGCTATGAACAATGTAACAGAACAACTGCTTCTCTTTTCAAGCATTTATTTATATTAAATGTGATAATGGTGATAATGTGTGTAATATGCTTCGCACGGTGCCTGGCACATCCTATGTGCTCAATAAATGGTAGCTATCTATTATCACCACTACCACCATCATCAAACGTTTAATTACCTACAGACCATAACTTGGACAATATACAGTAGCTTTATAAAATTAAGGTGTCTCTTGCTACCCAGCATTCTTCAGTTTTTTCCTCATCTGACCTTTTATTTTTTTAAACAGAAACAGATTCACTTTTTTTTTCACTATAAAGCAACGCAGGTTCAGTATAAAACATAATTAGTAGAAAAACAACAGCATTGCCCCACCATCCAGAGATAACCATAGTTAATATCTCAGTATTTATTTATCCAGACCTGGATCCTACTATACAACCTGTTTTGAATCTGTCTTTTTTTTAACTTAATATATTCTGAGCAGCTTTTCATGTCAAAATTCATCTGCAACACCATTTTCAAAGGATGAATATGATACTACATGGATGTACCAAAATAAGAAGTAGTTACTGTGAGCCAGACATGTTTTATCTCACTCAATTCTCACAACAACCTCATGACATAGACATTATTACAATTTTAAAGATTAGAAAACTGAGGGTGGGAGAGATTAAGGAACTTGCCCAAGGCCGTCAGCTGGCAATTGCTAGAACTGGGATCCAAACACAGATAACGAAGTCACATTCATTTAACCTATTCCCTATTGTTGGACATTCAGACTGTTTCCACATTTTTTTGCTAGCTCGTATAAATGATGCTGTGATAACAACCTTTAAGTGAACCTTTGCACGTATCCTCAACTAATTCTTTAGGATAAATTCATAGAGTTGGAATGTCTGAGTCACAAATTTGTTGATACACATTGCCGAACTGCCCTCCAGAAAATGTATACAGATGTACCTACCAGGAGTATGTGAGAATATCAATTATCTCATACCCTTACAACATTAGACATTATTACTAACTTAAAAATTTGTATGCCAGTTCTTTAAGCATACTGTAAAAGAACACTCGTAAGCAAGTAGAGCATATTGTAATTTCTACACGGTTCTGGCTGTTCTTCCCCGCTATTAGCGCACTGAGAAGTGGTTGTGCAGTGACGTGCACCAAATCGGAAAAACTTCAGTTTTCTTTAAAAATATATATATATGCACACACACACATATATCTTAGAATAAGCAGAACTTGAATAAGTTTAATTCATGCTACTAAACTTCATATGTTTATCATTCAAATGCCCAGAAAATTCACAGTACATAATGTGAAACATAAGGTTTATAATCTAATTGAAAAGACATGCTAACTTGAATCTAACTATATACACATATAATAAATACATCTCTATATACAAAAATGATGGGACTTCAGCTGTATTATAATGACGTTAGAAAAAAACAAAAGGAGAATTGCATGGTGTGACAAGCTGTTCTAAATTAATTATGAAAGAGTTCCTGGAAGAGATTATTTTTAATTGATACCTAAGGGATGGGAAGGAATCACTTTAGTTTCAGGCAAAGGCTTAGAATTTCCTATTGGAAAACTTTCTCCAGGAAATCATGAGAAGATTTGCCTGACTGAAATTGATGACATCAACAGGGATATAATGTTAAATGTCTGGGAGTAGGCAGGACTTGAACTTGAGCTACAGAATCATAAGCCATGGGAAAGTTTTTAAATTAGATAAAATGTGGATCAGATATTGAACTTGGATGATTCTTTTAGTAATAACATGAAAAATTAAGTGGTGAAAACAAGGCTGCAGGAAAAGAACTCTCCCAAAGGTTAAGTACTACAGGTGGTGTTTGCAAGGGATTTACCTTAGATAAATTTTCTACAAGAAGCAAACTATTAAGATTGAAATAGAGTTTCCTGAGATGTAAATAAGTCTCTTCTTGGTGTCTTTTGTGTAAATTTCCCATTGTGTCTTTCTTCCACACTCTAGGAGAGAAAAAAGCTTAGGAGGAAGCAAGAGAACCAGCACCAAGGGGAAGAAAAATTGTGCAGGGGGTGGGGGCTGCTGGGTGAACCTTATTCCCAAGAGTTATATCCAGTGAAAGAATTAAGATAGAAAGACGAATCTTAAACCCCACCACCCCCCAAAAAAAAAGAAAGAAAAGAAAATCCTTTGCCGTCAAGTCGATTCCCACTCATAGCAAGCCTATTGGACAGAGTAGAACTACCCCACAAGGTTTCCAAGGAGCAGCTGGTGGATTCTAACTGCCGACCTTTTGGTTAGCAGCCAGCTCTTAACCACTGCGTTACCAGAGCTCCAAGAAGAAGCTTAGTTCCATTTAAAAGACAGGCCACAGAAAAGTAATGCTGTAAAGGGATTACATTTTTAGAAAGTAATTTTGAACCTTCCTAGATTTGCTCTTGTTAACTCATTTTCTACTGCCCTATCTAGTGATAAAACACAAACGAAATTCGGACAAAGGGTTGTCTACTATGTTTTTGAACGTCTTTGCCTAGTTCCAGAAATGATTTAAGGTGGTTTACAATAATATTTAACATCAATTGAATGTAAGCTAGAAGGACAGGACATAAAGCAGGGCCATGAATGTATTAAACACTTGCTCCTGGGTGGCCCATAAACTGGATTTAGGCTTCCTAGTTGCCAATGTGAAAAGCAAAACTTAATCAGATAATGATCAGTAGCCATAAAATTAGGAGTCCCTGGATGGCAAAATGGAGCCCTGGTGGTGCTGTGGTTAAGCTGTTAACCAAAAGGTCGGCAGTTTGAATCCACCAGCTGCTCCTTGGAAACCCTATGGGGCAGTTCTACTCTGTCCTGTAGGTCACTATGAGTCGGAATCAACTCCACGGCCACGAGTTTGGTTTTGATTGGATGGCGAAATGGTTAAGCGCTTGATTACTAGCTGAAAGGTTGGCGGTTCGAACCCACCCGGCAGCATCATGTAAGATTACAGCCAAGAAAACCCTATGGAGCAGTTCTACCCTGCACACATGGGGTTGCCATGAATCGGAATCGACTCAACAACAACTAACAACAACAACAGCCATAAAATTAAAACAGACCAATTATTCAAGAAAAGCATAACCATTTCTGATAGGAAGATGAAACATTTCTTCTGCTTCCTTTGGAACAGGAGGGAGATGGGGAATAGTGCAACTGCACCAAAGTCAGCAGAGGTGCCCCCTGGTGAAACAGTGGGAAACAGATGTGCTAACCTCAGTTCTTAGGAAATAAAGCAAAGGGGTAATTTGGGGAGAAGGGATAGTCCTAGTCAGAAGTAGTTCTTAGGAACCGCTCATCAGCAGAAGTTGGGTGGAGTGATTTCCTGATGTTGTTGTTAGTTGCCATGGAGTTGATTCTGATTCATGGTGACCACAGTGGTGAAGAAAACATTTGGAATATTGAAGGAAGACTCATTAACAACCTACGACATGCAGATGACACAATCTTGCTTGCTGAAAGCCAAGAGGACTTGAAGCACTTACTGATGAAGATCAAAGACCACAGACTTTAGTATGGATTACATCTCTAAAGAAAACAAAAATCCTCACAACTGGACCAATAAGCAACATCGTGATAAGTGGAGAAAAGACTGAGGTTGTCAAGGATTTCATTTTACTTGGATCCACAATCAACGCCCATGGAATCAGCAGTCAAGAAACCAAACAACATATTGTATTGGGCAAATCTGCTGCAAAACACTTCCTTAAATATCTCTCTATACATCCAATTTAGATATTTCCAGAGAACCTTAAACTTAAGATGTCCAAAACTGAATTTGTCTTCCCTTCTAAAATCGCTTCCAAGCAATAACATTTCACTTAAATGTATTCCATGATACTTAAAAAAATCATATGGTGAATCATTTATTCACTTTGGCTTACTCATCTACAAGTGTATTTTCTATATTTACCAGACAATTAGCAGAAAAGAGTTATAATTTAGAGATTGCATTATAACTGCACTATGAAAAACAAATTTTATTTACAATTCAAGATAAATGCAAGATAAAAGTAGAACTAAAATCCTGAAAACTACCCTTAGGAGAGTCTGCAAATTTTCCTCTCAAAGTTAGAATGTTCTTAAAAACATTCTGAAGACAGATGCTCTCATATGTAAAAGCAAATCTCAGTGTTAAAGCCATACAGGACTGAAAAGTGAATTCTGCTGCAGCTGCAGCAATGCAATCATAATTGTAGTCGATGTCTTTATTTTTCCTTCAGTAATGTTTAGGGCAGTGTTTCTCAAAGTGAGGACTTGTTAGAAATACCCATTCTCAGGCCCTGCCCCAGACCTGCTGAATCAGAAACTCTGGGCTTAAGGTCGGGCAGTCTGTGTTTTGACAAGCCCTCCAAGTGACTCTGATGCCTGCACAAGTTCGAGAACCACTGGTTAAGACCAATAGCATAAGTCTTGGACAGTGAGGCCACTGGAAGCATTTTCTTACCAGACAGGTTTGGCTTGTAAAGCTTGTACTGTTTCTTCTAGTTCTTAACGTGTCAGTTTGGAACACCTGTGAATTATCACTAAGAAAAAAAGGAAAAAGAAAACATTTGTCATATAAAATCCCTTACAAAAATTTCTTTAAAGAAATAAGATTTCAAATACTTAAACGGTAATGTCATTAATGTAAATGGCTTACTTGTAGAGACAGCTGTGCCCATGTAGAAATTAAAACAAACACACACACACACACACACACACACACACACAGCCTTAGTTGGCTGAACCTAAACAAGTTTCCACGTAAGGTAAGGAATTCTCAAGCATGTCGCTTCACCTCTAATCAAGCTACTGAGAATAAGTATAATTTATTATGACCTTAGAAACATCATTTTTCAGTGTAAACCTGTAACTTATTTAAATTTATGCTCAGAGTTACAATGTGCAAGCACCAATTCCCTCTCAACTCCCAAATTTTCACATGAAGAGAGTTAACCAACAGCCCAGGTTGACAGGAGCCCTGGTGGCACAGTGGTTAAGAGCTTGGCTGCTAACCAAAAGCTGGCAGTTCAAATCCACCAGCCACTCCTTGGAAACCCTATGGGGCAGTTCTCCTCTGTCCTACAGGGTCGCTATGAGTCGGAATCGACTCGATGGCAACGGGTTTGGTTTTTTTCTTTTTTTGGTTTTAGAGGTCCATAGAACAGAGACTCTCACAGATAACATTTTGTTTGGCCTCCACAGTGTCGAAAACAATTTTGAGTTAGTTGTGCATGTTTAAAACACTGGAAGATTTCACATAAATAATCCAGATTCCAGATTTCTGCTTTTGATGGAAAACTGGCAAGATTTTGCATCACTGGGTCCACATTTCCACACGGCACCAATGGACTGAAGCTGAGCAGCTGCTGTCCACTGAAGAGAGTGCTGGTGTTCTCAGCTACGACCATTCCCGCCCAGCCTGCCTCAGTCCCACTTAAGCTTGTGACCCTGAATGAAGTCATCTTTTACTTTTGGTTTCATTATTATAACTTTTTATTCTCAGGCAGTTTAAGACTCACAAGAAGTTGCAAAAACCACACAGAGAGTTCCCATGTACCCTTCACCGAGCTTTCCCCAGTGATAATAAGTAATCATCTTTAATACTTTTCTTTATCGCCCCCTATATCCAATCAGGAGCCCTGGTGGCATAGTGGTTAAGAGCTCAGCTGCTCACCAAAAGGTCAGCAGTACAAATCCACCAGCCACTCCTTGGAAACCCTATGGGGCAGTTCTACTCTGTCCTATAGGTCACTATGAGTCGGAAGCGACTCGATAGCACCTAACAACAACATATCCAATCAGGTGCCAGGTCTTCTGGGTATTATCTCTATAACCCATTACCGTTGAGTCGATTCCAACTCATGGAGACCCCACGGGTGTCAGAGTAGAACTGCTCCATAGGGTTTTCTTGGCTGTAATCTTTACGGAAGCAGATTGCTAAGCTTTTCTTCCTTTGTGTTGCTGGGTGGGTTTCAACCGTCAATCTTTCGGTTAGTAGTCGAGCACAAACCATTTGCACCACCCAGGAACATTTTTTACCTCTATAATCTCCCTTATATACATGGTTTTCTTTTCAGGTTCCTTACCAAAAACTATTTCAAAACCTTTTTACTTTTCTACAGACTCTGCAATGTCTAACTGGCCTCCTCTGCTCTACAACGAGGCCACCTTCCTAAAAACAGCTTGCTTTCCAGCCCAAAACTCTCAGTGACTCTCTCCATGGCCTGCTGAATTCAGTCACATGTTTACTACGGCATTCAAAGCTCTCCACAATTTGGCTCGACTTTGGGATTCCACAGACTAGTAAAATTTCAAAACAAAAATCTGACGACAAACATATGGTTGCTACCTTTTTTCTTCTGCCACGTAAGGTCATTAAAAAAAAAAAAAACTCACCATCTCCTAACACCATTGTTTCATTTACAAAATGATATTTTGGTATTAAAGAAAAAAAAGGTAGGACTAACAACCTCATGGTAAACCGCAGCTCTGCTCAGGAAAAGACAATTGGCAACCACACAACAACATTATTGAAGTATGCTGTACTTAACTTTTTTAAAAATCATGGATTGGTGAAAACTTCACCTGGGATCAGCAGTCATCAGCCAATGAACATTTGGGAGCCACAGGTCCCGGCAAAGCCGATTATTCAGCTCTCTGGGATACACCTATGCTTTTCTGCCTCCATGCCTGCTCCATATACTTGAAATGCCGTCCCAGCCATCTCCCTCCCTTTTCCAGTCTGCTTCCTATCAATCATTTAAGGCCCATTTCAAATGCCACTTTCTCCATAAACCTTTCCCTTATCCCTCACCAATCCTGCTGGAGTTTCTCACTCCCTTCTTTGACTTCTCCTAACACTTTCTTTACCTTTAGGTCCTTTGAGTATTTATCTTCCTTACTAAATTAAATGATTATTGAGCCTTGAGATACATCTTTGCATCGTGGCAGTTTGCATATAGCAGGCTTTGATTCAATATTTTATGAATGAGAAGATATATGTATGGGTCTAATGTCTACTTCCTTTCCCAGTCATTTTCCCTAAGAAAAAAGGAATATATTCCAGGAGTCACTTATAAGGAAGTTGGAGGGACACTAAAAATCAAACCCACTGCTGTCGAGTCGATTCCGACTCACTGCGACCCTGTGTATTACAGAGTAGAACTGCTCCATAGGGTTTTCTTGGCTGTGATCTTTACTGGAAGCAGATCGCCAGGCCTTTCTTCCATGGCACTGCTAGGTAGGTTCAAACCACCAACTTTTAGGTTACTACTTGAGTGCAAAGGAGGAACACTAGTGAGTTACATATTTCCACTATCTTTTGTTTTGGGTGGGGTAGGAGGTAATTCTCAGTGCTAGCAATTCTCTACATTTTTTTTCTGCCAATTTTACTAAATAAGACTTTAATTGAAAAAACTAATTGAGGCAGGTTATGCTTATATCGGTATAAGTCATTCAACATGAATTCATAAAACCCTGGGTGATATCTAGAACTGAGTTAAGTGCTACTTCCAAACTGGAAAAAGTGAAGGTAATATAACTGTTTAAACTACAATAGATTTATGCCAGTTATATACCCAAAGCAATCATTTTTTCATGGCCACTATTTTTCCAGGTTTGTAAGAGTTCAATAAACCAAATAGTTGGCAAACATTTACTGCAAAGGGGCAAATAGTAAATATTTTAGGCTTTGTGGCTATAAAAATATCATGGACTGTAAAAATGGCATGGTGTTGGGGGTTGTCCGACCTCCTCGAACATCACAAATGGGAGAGAGAATCACTATCACCATTAGCCCAAGGCAAACTACAAATCGCTGGCCAAATCCAGCTTGCTGCCTGGTTTTATAGATAAAGTTTTATTGGAACATAAAAAAAACAGTTGCTGTCAAGTCAACCCCAACTCATGGTGACCCCATGTGTGTCAGAATAGCTCTGCGCTCTAGATGGTTTTCAATGGCTCATTTTTTGAAGGTAGATCGCCAGGCTTTCCTCTAAGGTGCTTCTGGCTGGGCTTGAACCACTAACCTTTTGGTTAGCAGCCAAGCACGTTAACCGTTTGCACTACTCAGAGACTTCCTATTGGAACATAGCCATGCCCATTTGTTTACTTATTGTTGCCTATGGCTACTTTTCTACTACAATGGCAGAATACGGTGCAATGGATCGCTTTTATAGGGCCTTTCTCGCCATCGTCTTGTAACTCTCACCAAATGATTGGGTGGGACTATGCAAATAAGGTGTTTGTGACTCACCAAGAGGACTGGACAGCTTGCTAATAATGCAAATAAGGTGCATGGCACCCTTGTGGGGGTGTGACCATGTAAGTAAGGTGTATGGAACCCTAATGAGGGGATTGGTTAGTTCTGCTATCTTGCTAGGCTTAAAAGAAAGCCAATCCTAGAGCAAAGGGGGGGGGGGCCTCACTACCACCAAGAAGAAGAGATGGGAGCAGAGCACATCCTTTGGAGTCCCGGAGGCACTCCACTCTGCCAGGAAGCCTCAGCCCAAAGGCTCTCAGCTTTCTTGCTCTGTGGGTTGGCACACCCACTGTAACTGCCTTGCTCCACGGGCCAGGAAGCCCACTGCACCGTCTCGCGCCAGTCTCCTGGTTCTGCTGCTATCATTTCTCTGCCGCCACTTCTCGCCATCTTGCACTATCTCCAATGTTACAGCCCTCTCTCTGTCTCCTGGATCTAGGAGGTTCTCAGCACAGGGACTGAGACAGTAACAGTCTAAATGCGAGGTCAGGCTAGAGCTGTTTAAAGAGGGGAGCCACTGACAGAAATCCAAGAACTTAATCTATAATTCTTTTAATAAGGAGCAGATAAAGAGAAGAAAGAAAACTACTACCTTTAAATATACTGCTACTGACGCCAGTGATAATGTTAGCCAATGGGAGGGAGAAAGATTATAAAAAACCAAGAGGTTCAAAACTTGATGCTGGTATTTTTGTTTAACATGAGATGTACACAAAACAGTGCAGGAACTTCTTAAAAAGAGTAAAGCTTGTATTAAAGAGTAGACATTTAAGGAATAAATTTGGCAAAATGCTGGTGCAAGAGAGAGGGTCTTTATACACAGAAAGCATCAAGCAAAATTGGAAAATTACTTGAAAGAGGTGCAAAAATATTTAACAAGCTGTGACTAGAATGCTTTACTGCCAGGTGCAGTTTCAAAGGAGGTGGGGCAACAAGTATTAGGGGTCCACATAAGGGAAAGTGAGAAAAGTGAGCAGCGGACATATGCAACTGAAAAGAAATGAGGTGAAAATGAATTCAACTAAGGGTAGGTGTACCCTAGCCTGACCCCAATCTGTGCTACAACAGCACAAAATATGCTCTCAGGGCATGTCGTATATCATTCCTACGTTACCTCTTTTTGATGGACAAGAGTTCCTGGACTTGGTCCACTGAGGTTTCTTTAACTCCTACTAGATAAACAAAAATCCTCACAACTGGACCAATAAGCAACATCATGATAAACAGAGAAAAGACTGAAGTTGTCAAGGATTTCATTTTCCTTGGATCTACAATCAACGCCCATGGAAGCAGCAGTCAAGAAATCAAACAATGTATTGCATTGGGCAAATCTGCTGCAAAAGACCTCTTTAAAGTATTAAAAAGCAAAGATGTCACTTTGAGGACTAAGGTGTGCCTGACCCAAGCCATGGTATTTTCATTTGCCTCATACACATGCGAAAGCTGGACAATGAAAAAGGAAGAATTGATGCCTTTGAATTATGGTTTTGGCGAGGAATATTCAATATACCACAGACTGCCAGAAGAACGAACAAATCTGTCTCAGAAGAAGTATAGCTAGAATGCTCCTTAGAAGCGAGGATGACGAGACTTTGTCTCACTTACTTTGGACATGTTATCAGGAGGGACCAGTCCCTGGAGAAGGACATCATGCTTGGTAAAGTGGAGGGTCATCAAAAAAGAGTAAGACCCCTCAATGAGATGGATTGACACAGTGGCTGCAACAATGGGCTCAAACATAGTAACTAGTGTGACGATGGCGCAGTACCAGGCAGCGTTTCATTCTGTCACTATGAGTTGGAACTGACTGGACAGCACCTAACAATAATAGATAAATATGCTATTACCCCCCCCATCCCTTCCTGTACAAATTTTACTTCATGCATCAGGATCTTAAGCTACAGATTTAACTCTGTAACTATGCTCTAATACATATGATAAAAACATCAAATCCTTTGCAGAACAAAGCTAGTTATGAATGGATTAACAGAAATCCTTTGTAGAACAAAACAAGCTATGAATGGATTAACAGATCACTCCCTTTGCTCCCAGGACTTTGGGGATTGGGGAAGGGGGGGTTCTCCCCAACAGTAATGTTTAATATATTAAACAGATCCACATTTTCCTTCAAGAACACACCCTCCATCTATTTGCAACTGTTTCTTCTTTTCATAAAGCCTTCCAATAAAACCAACATTCTCCCCAACTGCATTCTTCCACTAACAGAGTGGGTCCCATAGCAATTCATTCATTCACAAAATCCTGAGTTTATAAAATGTTGTTCTCAGCACAACATGCAGAGCCCCCTCCCCCTATTTTCTATCTGCCTATTGAAGTAAGGTAATATATTATTTTTGGGTCAATCTTAGTTGTTTTTCACTTTGTGGCAATATATTCTCCCCTACCACAGATGACCGGAAGCTGGAATTATTTAGAGTTAATCAGTTTAGATGTTGATTAGTATAGTAGATGGAACTAACTTAGGAGTCAGGAAACACAGCATTGGTTCTAGTACTGAATATATCACTTTGGAGATTTATTTGGGCCTCAGTTTCCTCATATGTTAAACAAGAAAGGCAGATCTGATCTCTTAGTTCCCTTCTAACAGTCTATGACGTTGTGAATTACAACTATCAATTAGCATGATGGCAGCAAAAGCTGAGGAGCTTATGAAGTGAATGCATACATTTTTAGACATTTTTACAATATCTAGAATATGATACTGGGATGTGAAATCTAAGACCTCACTTTAAAACTCTAAGAAATAATCAGCTTTAGTCACATCAGACCTTTGGATATGTACAGGAAATACAGTTAATCATCATTTAGGGCAGTGTTTCTAAATCTTTTTGCTATTGTTGTGATTATTGGCCTTCTAAGGAGCCTTTTTTAGACTTTTTTTCCCCCTAATCACCCTCCCTCCATGAAATTTTAATACCACAGATATACTGAATATCTCTTTATGTATATCTATGCTTTATACACAAAGAGTAAGATTTTTTTGTCCCCCTCAAGACCAATTTTCGCCCCCACTGAGAATGCATAATTTAGGAGATCAAGTTCTGTGGTACCTTAACTTTTTTCAAATAAAAACTAGGAATAAAAAAGAGGTCAAAACTTATTTGCTTGACAACCATTTCTATCCCGAGTGTGCTTGCGGTGAAGGTCGGAGGTGACAAAGCAGTTGACAGAATGGTAAAAATTCATCACAGAATATCTGGAGGGGGAGGGGCGCCTCCGGTACTTCAAAGGGGTGTGGGTAAGAGAGGGGTGAAGTTCGAAAACGTCGTGCTCCACACTAATTGGTTGCTGTTTTCGGGTCCAGGTGGGCAGTCAGAAGAGGAAGTTCAGATTCAGATGCTTGTCAACCTCAGGGTGGGTGTGCGCTCTACCTCCAGCTAGCCCGTCCCACCTTTCACCCCCCTGAGGGTGGGATCTGGGATGGGAATGCTATCGGAAATCACTTTCTCCAACTCTTCCTAGCCCTTCCCCTCCTACTACTCCCTTGCCTCCCTCAGTATCTCAACCCTGCTCACCCAAGACCACTGATCAAAGGTGCACTGCTGGATCTTCTCAGGATGTTGCCGTCTGTGGTGGTCGAACTCGGAAGCGGCTCCAGGTCTAGCTCCATTTTCTCTTGTGCCATGTCGATGTCGAGGAAGCCACTTCTTAGTTCGACGTTCTCAAAGCTTTCAGTTTCCCGTTCACATCTGGGCAAGTCGGCTAGGTAGGGGGTGGGGAGAGGGTGTAGGGAGAGGAGAAGGGGAAAACGAGAAGAGAGGAGGAAGCTCTCAGACGCGTGGGGGTGCTCATCTTTGCAGCCCAGGATCCCCAACACCAGTGGGCACAAGGTGGGGCAGGACTGGCTCCGCACCTCCTACCTCCTAAGCTCCGAGCCTCTACCGCTGAGAAGGTCCCCCACCTCCACGTCTATAATTCAAATGGGGCAATCTATTGTTTCGGCCACCGCCGCGAATCGTACTCCTTTATCTCGCTCAGCGATAGCAACCCCAGGGAAGCCTTTCCAGCCAAAACAAAAACTACAACCTGCCGCCTTTGAGAATAAACTGGAGCCCGCCCCTCTGCGCATGCGCCCTGTGTCCGGCCTGACGACGCATGCTTACTACGGAAACAATTAGCGTCATTAAAGGCGCCTTTGTCAGCCTTGGCTGGGGCCACCGCGTAGTCAAGGAACCGTCTCTTTTCCCAAGCCATGTCCTCCGCTCTTCGTAGAGCCGACGCACCGTTATTGTTCCTAAGGAGTTCATCTGCTACTTTGTTAACCCTGTAACGGTTTCGTTGACTATTACTTAGTAAAGAAAGGGTGGGAGGAGTAAACTGTGTAGAGCTCCAGCCTTTCTGCCCTATGTCTAATACTCATTCTACTGCTTACTATTTTACTTTTCAAAGGATTTAAGATTCTTGGCAGATAATAAGGTTTAGTAGAAATATATTGAGTTAATAGGCAAATAAAATATCTTCACACTTAAGAGCATTACAGATATCTAATTTAAAAAAACTAAGCATAATAATACTAAGAACCTAGGTATTACAAAACAACAAGGAAAGAACAATTAAGAGACTGCTCCTGGAAAAGGGGTAGTAATATGAAATGGTTAAATATATGAGACGGCGATTAGTTTTCAGCTATTACCGAGGAGGAAGAATTTAAAGTGCAGCCACATGTCAGGAAACCAAAACCTGTAAGGATATAGACAGGATTCATAGTACATACACAGGTTGGAATGTCAAAAGGAGAAAGTGCTACAAAATCAGAATTCTGTATGCTACAATGGCAAATAGTATTTAAAGAAATTACATTTACTTCTTCCCATTTCTACCTACACATTATACCAACCTAGCTGTGTTTCTTGATAAGCTCTTTCTGTTTCACAGAAGTATGTCATGATCTTGGATCGTTGATTTGCTTAGATCTGTACCTTGACACTTCTCTTATTCCTGCCTTTGTATGTCCCAGGCTGCTGCCATCTGTCCCAAGCTTCTTACTTATAAAGTGTGTCCCAGAAATATGTCATAATCAGCTCTTTATTGTACTAGTTGTCATTGTTACCTTTAACCTACATTTTAGCTTTTTTAGTTATTACAAGAGTAAGTCAAACACAACTTGAACTCATGTTCACAAACCAAAAATGCCCCAAACCTCCCAAAAGACTCATCTTACGGGTAAAAGAAACTAGGTATGCAAGAATCATGTGAATAAAACGTGGCAGTGATGGCTAAGATAGCATCCTTCTTCTCACATATCCTGAGTTTCTTCTAAATTATTAAACTTCTGAAAGTTAGGCCAAGCCCCATCGCCATCAAGTCGGTTCAGACTCATAATAACCCTATGCCCCATAGAACTACCCCACAGAATTGCCCCATAGGGTTTCCAAAGAGCACCTGGTGGATTCAAACTGCCAACCTTTTTGTTAGCAGCCATAGCTCTTAACCACTATGCCACCAGGGTTTCCTGAAACTTAGGAGTTCTAAATTGTTTGACTTCTCAGAGTTAGGGACTGTGGATGTGGTCAACAAATGATTATTTAGTAGCTTTTGTGAACAAAAGAATGTACTGTACCTCTTTGAGCAGATGGGGGTTGCTGAGACCTTGAGATAAAAAGAGATACATGAACTGCTCAAAAACAGAGGCTGTTGTTTCTAATCTAGCTGGGGGAAAATACAGGCAATTTAGAGAAAACTATCCAAAAGTGCTTAAAAACCCTCATATCACAAGCAGAAAACATAAACATTGAGGAATGAAATGACAATTGGTTGGACTTGGCAAGTTTAATATGGGACAACTGAATTCAAGAGGCAGGCAAAATGAATTTTGCTAATTTTTGAAACCAATTTCACAACTGTCAAATTTTCTGTGCTTTCTAGGCATGTATAATTAACACTGTACAATGGCATTCTTTCCCCCAGGGTCATTCAGGTGGTGAGGATTAAGCGAGTTAATATTTCTAAAGCTGTTAGTACAGTGCCTGGCACACAGTAAGTACTATATAAGTTGTTGGTTAAATAAAATAAACAATCCCAGGTCTCACACATGTAGAATCATGATTGTTAGGGTCTCCATAAATCCTAGAAAAAAAGAAAAAAAAGAGATTTCTGATTCTGCTACTTGTTCTCCGGGACTTTTTGGATATTCCTAATATCGGTGAAGCAAACGTTGCTTATAACATGGAGATGAATGCTTCTCACTATGTGAATGGACTGTCATTAGATTTACTTTACTTCTACTCCATTGTTTGTTTGTTTGTTTTTTTACCCTTCCCTTTTGTCTAGTGCACCCACATGGATGATCTGAAAAAGGAATCAGGCCCACCAGCCAAAGACCAACAAAATCAAGGGGTTTAAGAAATTAGTGAGGATCAACTATTAAGTTACAGAGGTCATAGCATACAGATTGGGAACGAAAAACCGTGGAAATCCCACGTTTCTCTCGATTTCCCATCAATATTGGACCAAACTCCTGAAAGGTGATGCTGCAGTTCTCCAACCTATTGGCTCTTTTCGAAATCGAGCGCCAGGTTCCTCGGGCCAATGCCATTGAGGAAGGCGCTGGGACTCCTGGAAACGCTCCTCCCCTTTAGAGGAGGTTTGAGGGGGCGGGGCTCGCGCGCATGCTCCTTGCCCGCGGGTCTATTGGCGCGGCCGCCGCGCGCGTGCGCAGGAGGTGATGGGTGCTGGGACGCGGAAGACCCGTGGCCCGGCTGAGGCTCCTGCTTCTGAAGCGTAGGAGGCGGCAGGTTGTGGGTTTTGGTCCTGGCCCCAACGGGTTCCTTGAGGCCATAAGAATTAGAGAGAGGAAGAGGAGGCACTGCGGCGGCGGCTGAGGGGCAGAACCCCCATCTGTCCTCGAGGCGGGAGGGCGGAGGGAGGGGAGAAGCACTGATCCCAAGCTGAGGAGACTCCGGGACCGGGACCCGGAGCATGGGGGGCTGGAGCCGCCGGGGCTGCCCGGCCAGGCCCTGCCCGACTGCCAGCTCCTCGGTGCTAGCACTGTCCGGGCACCTGCGGCGCGTGTAGCCGGGCCCCGCTTGAGGTCGACGGCCGGCAATATAGTAGCATGAGTTCCACATCTGCCTAGTTTCCTCCCCCTCGTTTTCTTTTCCCCGTCCTGCTCCTTCTTCCTCTATCCTCTTCCCCACACCTAGTCCTCCTTTCCTACCCCCTTGTCCTCTTTCTTCCCTCCTTCTCCTTTCTTCCCTTTTCCTTCTTCCTCCAATCTTCCTCTTCCTTTGCCCCTCTGCATTCCTCCTTTTATCCTGCCTGTCCTGCTTTTCCATCTATCCTTTTTCCCTTCCTCCATCCCTCTTTCTCTTTTCTCTCCTCCCTCCATCCTTCTGATCCTCCCACTATCCCTGTCTTCCCCCCATTCTCCTCCTCCCCCTTTTCTGCTCCATCCTCTTCCTTCATGCTCCATCCTCCTTCCGCTGTCTTCACCATCCTATCTTCCTCCTCCTCCTCCTCTTCCTCCCCTCCTCCTCCTCCTTTCCTACTTTTCTCCGCCCCAGCCACCGCCCCCAAGCCTCCGCCCCTTCGCCCCCGCCCCCAGCTGCCTGTCCCCAGCAGCTCAGTCCTGCAGTGAGAGTCTTGGGAGTCCATAGCTAAGCACCAGGAGCTGAGCACTGTCCGCTGTGCCTGCCTGCAAATTCCGGACATGGCTCAGGAGAAAATGGAGCTGGACTTTGAGCCTGACATATCTGATGGGGGCACCCTGAGGAGAGCCAACAGCGCTCCCCTGATCCATGGGCTCAGGTGAGCAGGGTTGGGGAGGATGGAGTAAGGGGTTCGGGGGCTCCTTGGCCCCGGGCAAGCAGTCTTCCTTCCCTAAAGTGAGAGTTGGAGCTCATTTGGGTTCTCCTAACTGTGGGGGTGGGGACTTGTTTGCTTCACAGTGACTTGGGTTCCAAGGTGGAGTGAAAGTTTGACCCTAAGCTGGGCAGTGGCGGGGAGGAGGAAGGACCCTCTACCTGAGGCTGTTGTCCCACTCTAAAAGGAACTCTAGGAAGCTTCTGCCTCTTCTGACAGGTTGCTTGTCCTGCCTAATTTACACAACCGAACATCAGACTGAAGCCCCTGGAACTAGACTTGCAACTTGACACCTGTCCCTAAGAGCTGCTATTTCTAAGCTTAGTTTATGAACCCTGGCCTTAATTTTACTTTAATAAATCATAGTTTATCTAATAACTTGTCATGAAATGGTGCATTCTTGTCATATTAAATGATTTGGATTTGTTCTGTTTTCAGATTCTAAAGTGTCCTGAAATGCATTTTAGTGAATAAAAATAAGAAATAAGGCATGTAGCTTCGATCAGTGAAAACACAGGTTTTGGAAAACGATGGAAATAATCGACCTTTGATTTTTAGTGGCAGGGTCCTGTGTATTCCTGTGAAAAAGTCATCAGTGGGTTTATTTTAAGGTAGAATCTTGTGATAATTACGGTTAGGTGGGCTCACCTCCTGAGCCTATTGCATTTCACTTGTATAAGTAGATAATTCATTTTAGGTAGAGAGCCAGTTTGGGAGACCCTGTAGAAATGGAATTAGTCCAAAAAAAGGGATGGGAATAGAATTAGCGAAAAACATATTAATCAAGCACAGTGAAGGCAAGGAAAGAAGCTATCCTTGGATAGTGAACTAATTATAAATCTATTTTGGGGAAAAAACAGATTAATTTTTTTCTTTCATTAAATACCATTTTGAAACTGAAGGAATGATTGAGTGACCTTTTTGCTTTCCTAAGACTACATTTATTTTTGATACTATAGCTCTGGTGGCGCAGTGGTTAAGAGCTCAGCTGCTAACGAAAAGGTCGGCAGTTCAAATCCACCAGCTGCTCCTTGGAAACTCTATGGGGCAGTTCTGTTCTGTCCTGTAGGGTCGCTATGAGTTGGAATCGACTCGACGGCCCCTGACAACAACATAGGAATAAACTCATCTTTTTTTGGTTGTCTTTTTAAATCTGGCAAGCAAGCGATTGTTACGCACTTGGGGGACCCTGTTGACCTGCGTTTAGGTAATTCTAAAAATATACTGTTTTTTTGAATGATGATTTAAGTAATTACTTGAAGATAGCATGATGTGACAGACAGGCCAGACCTCATCCCGATTTTCTCACTAGCTATGATCATGAATGAATCACTTAACCTTTGTGAGTCTCCGTTTTCTCATTTAAAAATCAGGATAGCTGAGGTAGGTGATCTCAACGGTGCCCCAAAGCCTGATCCAGTTCAGTTCTGGAAATCCATCTTGAACACTTATCACAGACATGGCACTCTGCTAGGCACTGCAGGGTCCTTATACAAAGTTGAGCAAAACACTTCGGTACTAAGGGCTTTAAGATGTATACCCACTTTTCTTTGATAAAAGGTAAAGTTTGGTAGGTGTCTCAAGAAGCATCTCATCTCCCACAGTGCTCCTGGGTTGAAAGATTGCATTAGGTTTGTGGGATGCAGAAAGGCATTGTGGAGGGCATGGCATTTGAGGTGGGCATTGAAGGGGAGGAAGGGCTTTACAGATGGTGCTAAGAAGGAGGGCAACCGAGGCAGAAGGAGCCACATGAGCAGAACCTCAGGTATGTTTATTTCATTGAACGGTGGGCTTCAGAGGTAGAACACATGTTCAGGGCAATAGTGGGAGATGTGCTGCTAGGAGTCTCACATCACTGCACACAGAAAAAGACAGTATTTGTAGGTCCTGTAGGGTAAACAGATGAGGCTTTCTATGTCTGGAGAGAACCGGTTTAGGGATGTGAGCTCTGACCTGGGGCAGCTGGAGGCAACCAGTCTAGAGCTCCGCCCCATACTTCTCCCTGCGGGTGTCCCCCACCCCCCTGAGGAGATCAGTATCTTGGCAAACCTGTAATCCACAACATACCAGTTGGAAAGCCTGTGAAGAGAAGGGTGAGGAGTTTATTCATTGTACGAAAGGAGGAGCCATTGAGTTGTTAATTGGAGAACAGATGTTAATATAGTTGACAAATATCTTAAATGAGAAGACATTAACAATTTAGTTTTTATTTTGCAGCGACTTTTCACAGGTTTTTCAACCATACACATTTAGAACTCGGAGGAATAGTACAACCATTATGAGCCATCACAGCTTGGTAAGTATGGAAGTAAGTATCTAAGTGGTTTGGGTAGGGGAAAACACTTCAAATAATTACTTCTTAAAATTGTGTGCCGTGCATAATTGTTTAAAAAAAGAAAAGATTTATTTTACCTATCTCATTTACTGCTTACACTGTGGCCATTTTCAGCTTTCAGTGAAAAAGGTGACCTGGTTTAAAGAAATTTTTTTTTTTTTTTTTGCTGTGGGACTTTGTGTTTTTAAAAATTATTGTTATTTGTCAGTACTTGCATCTGGTTGTGAGGCAAGTCAGTGTTAATTTCTAATTGTAGTTGAGAACCCCAAACCCAACCAAACTCATTGTTGTCAAGTCCATTCTGACTCATAGCGACCTTGTAGGACAGAGTAGAACTGCCCCATAGGGTTTCCAAGGCTGAAATCTTTACAGAAGCAGACTGCCACATCTTTCTCCCGCGGAGCGTCTGGTGGGTTTGACCCGCCAACCTTTTGGTTAGCAGCCAAGCGTTTAACCACTGTACCACCAGGGCTCCTGTCACTGGTATAGAACAGTATAATTTATGGTCTTAAGGAGACCTGGGTCATTAACCTCATCTTAAATTATTGTAATACCTACACTTGTATGGTATTTTACACGTTACAAAGTACTTTCACACATTTACTTCTCATAACAACCCCTATGAAGAAGGCAGGGCAAAAGATTTTTCCCATTTGAAAGAAGCAGCAGCTAGGACTCAGACGATATAAGTGGCTTGCTCGGAATCACACAATTAATAAATGGCAGAGCTGGAGTTAGAATAGATATCTTCCGGTGCCATCCTATGTGGTATAATCTGTTTAAGAAAGGGAAATATATAACACATTTTAGCTTTCCAGCTGAACTAATTAAAAATACATAAAAATGTTAGTTATCTGGAGGTTTGATTCACTTCACTTCCTTCCCCAAGAATACTAGAAAATATCATAACTATTTTTGTCATATGTAGGAAAAATGTTTATAAGTGTTACACAGCTATGTTCCTCATATCAGTAGCATCACAGAGAAGGGCAAAATAAGTCCGTCTCTCTACACTTCACTTTCCTCATTTGTAAGATATGAAGATTCTTATCAACTCGAGTCTAGGCTAATTTCTCACTGCTCCCTTACAAATACTCTGCTCTGGCTGCACTAAAATACCTCGTTTTCTGAAGGGACCATGTTAATTCCCTGCTCTGTGTTAACCCTTATGCTTGCCTTCACCCCATCCCATCCCATTCCCCTTTCTAGCTTGTCGAAACCTTCAAAACTCAGTGTAATCCTTTTATTTCCTTTGGGAAGCCTTCCGCAGCACTCTTTTGGGTACTTCTATCATTTGTATACGAGTCCCTGGGTGGCACAAATGCTTATCACTCAACTACTGTCCAAAAGGCTGGCAGTTTGAACCTACCCAGACATGCCTAGGAAGAAAGGCTTGGTGATTGATTTCCAAAAGATCACAGCCTTGAAAACTCTGTGGAGCACTTCTACTCTGCACACATGGAGTTGCCATGAGTCAGAATCGACTTGAAGGCAACTAACAACAATCATTTGTATACATTAGATCACAGCATACGTATAAATCTTGATGCACTTGTCTGTGTCCCGCAGTAATCTGCAAAAAAGTAAGATGATAGCAAGTGAGATGGAAAGGAGGGGGCAGATGAAAAACACATGCAGATTTGACAGCTGATTAGACGTCAGGGCAGGGAGAAGGAAGACTCAGAGTGGCTGAAATGTTATTTCTTGGTGCCCAGGGGAATGGTATTGCCTTTACTGGAGTAGGGAAATCGAGAGAAATCGGCGGTTTGAAGGGGAAGAAGATGCATTATTTTTGGACATGTGGAGTTCAAGGTGCTACTGGCCCCATGCTATTGTCTAGAGCAACAGTCTAAATCTTTTTTTTTTTAACTCCAAGCTTCCTATCTCACCACCTTTCACTTTCCAGATGACCCCTGCTGCTCACCCCACAGAGAAGACAGACACCTATCTTTCATGAACCTTAGTTTTCTTCTCCTTAAAGTATCTTTACCTTCACTCATGGTGCTGTGCCCCTAATGGCGCATGCACTTTCTGATTCTGCTGTCACTTTGCTCCGTCTCTTACCTCCTCTCTATCTTGAGTCTTCAGTCCCTTCCTCGCTGCCTCTGTTCCTCCTGCCTTCTTTTCCCAGCTTACACATCTAACACTCAGAAAACCTTTTTTCTTTCCATAGGTGTCTCCTTCCCTCTTTTCCTTCCCCTCTGAGAGCTTTACCAAAGCATCATCTAAGCTCAGCTGCCTCTAATTCCTTGTCTCCCAGTTTTTTACCAAACTATTCAGCCAATTCGTAATCTCCCTACTCCTGCCACAACTCCATTAAAAGACTGTTCTTGTAAAAGTCCCTGTGACCACCTAATTGTCAGTGTCAGGGCCCTCATTTCTTATCCCTCTTGAGCTCTTTGCTTTACTCAGCACCATTAACCAGCACCTCCTTGAAGTTCTTAGGCAGTTTTTCAGCCTATCCATCACTCTCTTGCTTCTGGTACTAGACGCAGCTTTGCTGCTCTCTGTCCCTCTCTGGTCTACTTTCTAGTTTTGTGTAAAATTGACAAGTTGTGTGTCATGTAGGTGTAGAATCTAAATTTCTGATTTTCTCTGCCATCAGTTTCTGGCAATGCTTACTTTGGCTCTCCTGATTATTTTGTTGCCTTTTGGGTTCCTTTTGTTCCCTGTGAGCCTGTCACATCCATGCTTTCTTCCACACCCTCCTGTTAAGAGAGCTTTCCCTGCCTTATTTACTTGCCTAGTGGCTTAGCATTTTCCAAATGACTTCATTAACAGGTTACCAGTAAACACATATTGCATTCATAATGGAAAAAAAAAAAGACTTTTTAAAATGATTTTACTGCTAGTTTCCCTTTTTAAAGCCTAAGAGGAAAAAGTAAAAGGGCTGGGTAATGACGGGATATCTTTTGAGGTAACATCATATTTTAGTGGATAACTTTAAAATTTTTTTTACCTGAATTAGATTTGACTTAAAACACTTAGCGGTTTATTACCATTTTATACTACTTATTACATTTGTGTTCAAGAACGTTTTAACAGAATAGTACCTCTTGTAACATGAGTCAGAATTGACTTGACAGCAACAGGTTTGGTTTCGGTTTTGCAACAGGATAGTTGTCTTATCTAGTTTTATGGTATTACAAACTCATTTGTATCTCATTAGGGAATAAATTGTAGTTGTTTACATTCTGGCTATTAGAACCCTGTAAGATCTGTTGAAAGGAGCCCTGGTGGCACAGTGGTTAAAGTGCTCGGCTGCTAACCGAAAGGTCGGCAGTTCAAACTCACCAGCTGCTCCCTGGGAGAAAGATGTGGCAGTCTACTTCCGTAAGGATTTACAGCCTTGGAAACCCTGTGGGGCAGTTCTACTCTGTCCTGTAGGGTTGCTGTGAGTTGGAATCAACTCGATGGCAGTGGGTTTGGTTTGGTTTGGAAGATCTGTTGGAAGGAATTATACCTTATATTTTGTAATCAGATTGTGATTATTTAAAAATTAGTCTTTAAAAATGACGATCTGAAGGAAAGCAACAGTGATTTTAAAGGTACTCCCTGCCTTTGCACTGATTTTATTTTTAACCATTAAGGTTTGTGGTGGTAGCATTAGTGATCAAATTTTAGAATGGCTTTACATTATGTAAGCAAAATCTCTTTATTGCAATTTTAAGGTGTTTGAGGTAAACACTAATCCTAGACAAAACATTATACTGGTTTTATTAGCCTGTCTTCCCCCATTGGTGCGGTGGTAATAAAAATGAATAAAAATCACTGTTTTTTACTTTCTCTTCTTATAGAGCTCCTTATTTTAGATAAGTAGGGTAATGGATATTTCCAAGGGCAGGAGTCTTTTTACATAAATGTACACAGCTCTACATTCATTTGGGAAAAGTGCTAAAGTCAGTGCCTGTTGAGCGACAGATGGCGGTTTGAGGTTGGACACCTGGTGTACTTTGTAAAGACTGAATGAATGTATTGCCTCTAGTCCATTACTGTTCAATGACTTAGCTAAATTTCTAAGAAGAATATGACAATATCTGGGAATTGGTTGTACACCAGTACTAACAGCGGACTGTTGCTTTGTGATTCAGGAAATAGTAAATGTTTACTTTTTTCTTCTAGTTGCTGTCATCCTCACCCAGCCGTATCCCTAGTAGCAGACTGCATCAAATCAGAAAGGTAAGTTTTACTTACTAGCTCAGATCTAAACATTTTCTGGATTTTACATTTTGATTTTATTTTCGTTTTGAAGGTTAGATACTAAAAATGAGTCAAGTGGCAACTCTGGTTAGTTGTAGACAGATTACAGTTCTGGGTTTGCAGACAAAATGCAAATGTGGCGTGGGTGGCAATCTTAGAAGGTTAGTTCTACTGTATTGTGTTATGTCAAATGAGGTAGAAAAACCTTTTAATTTTATTTTCAGTAGAGAAATACGTGGATAAATATTATGTTTTCGGCACATGTTGTCTTTGCAGGAAGAAGGAGTGGATATGATGAACAGAGAGACTTCACGTGAAAGGTTAGTGCCTCACAAGAACAGAACATAGAGAGCCGAATGTGTCTTGTTTGTAAGCACTGATAGCGTTTCATTTTGTTTGTTTAAGGGAAGTGCAAACAGCAATGCAGATAAGCCAATCATGGGATGAGAGCTTGAGCCTGGTAAAGTTTTCCCTTATCTGCTTGCTTTTTTATTTTCCAGAAACCTGTACATTGTTCATTGACTTCGTTAGTTTTTACATGTCTTTTTGTACCTCCTGCTTCCAAATTTGTATTCGTTTTTCATCTCTGCTTTTCCAGAAGAATAGTAGAGTGCAACTTTTTGGTCTATATATTTCTGCTCTAGAAATGTAGGTACGTTCTAGTAGTAAGTAAGACTTGTTATGAAGAGGTAACACTTTATGTTTACAGAGCGATAGTGATTTCGACAAGTCGGAGAAATTATATTCTCCGAAGAGAATTGACTTCACTCCAGTTTCTCCAGCACCATCACCCACCAGAGGATTTGGAAAGGTAGGATCATGGGCAAGATAGTAACTTTCTTTCACACACTGAGCTGTTTCTTTTCTAAAACACACACACACACACACACACACACACACACACACACACACACACACACACACACACACACACACACCACCTCTCTTATGAAGAATTCAATTACTTAAAAGAACATTAATGAAAATTTATGATAGTAATTTGAAAAAATATTTATAAGACCCATAGACAGCTAATAAGCAGTTCTCAGTACTTTGTGTCTGTCATTTTTAAAAGAACCTTGTAAAAACTGGAGCAGTAGAAAGATTTTAATATTAAAATTTTTTTCTAGCAGTGTTTTTCACCATCCTTACAAATGTTTGTGAGTAGCAGTGGATTATCGCCAAGTCCTGTTCCTAGTCCAAGACGATTTTCGAGGTATGTGAACCGGTATTCTAAATGTAGTTTAAGTGCCACTCATTAAATTTGTCTATAGATTAACTTTTTCTCCAACGTTTTATTATGGAAATTGTCAAATGTACAGCAAAACGGAAAGAATTTCACAGTGAACATCCATATACCTGCTGCCGGTATTGAGACTTAGTGCTGATGTATATATCCAGAGGGAAACGACATGTGCGCGCCTGCACACGCACGCTATAATTTATCCTTCTTAACGATTAGGAAAATTTTTTAAGATCGTATATCAGTCAAAATCCAAATAACATTTAATAAGGTATCATTTTTTAAAACTGTTGTGGGCATTTTGTTTCATTATGACTAAAATAAATTGCTTAAAATGCCATGTTATTCCCGATTGCTGTATACCAGATCAGATTATGTGCAACACAAACATTTTCCTTTTCTCCCTACATGAATGTCAAATTCATTTATTTATTTTTTTGTTTATATTTATTTATTTATTTGGTGGGCTGTAACACTGTTTGTCTTCCATCTTGGAAGTACTTCAAGTCGTCCTGTTCGTTTATTCATTTAAACAGGCGGAGTCAAAGTCCAGTCAAGTGCATTAGGCCCAGCGTCCTTGGTCCTCTTAAAAGAAAAGGTATGCTTCACACTTCTGATGTTAAACTGAATCGAGCTTGAATTAAAAACTAGAATTCCTGTCTGAAACTAGTTCAACGCATACTCTCCTTTTTTTCTGAATGTGAATGTATGCTTTACCGATTCTGAGTTTTGTAAGTTGGTTGTTTGATACTATCTCTATAGGGTCCCTATGAGTCGGAATTGACTCGATGGCAATGGGTTTGATTTTTTTTTGTATCTTTTTTACACTTCATAACTGAATCTTATTCAAAAACTCATATTATCAACATATATTCTAAAAATATTGCCTGTCAATGATTCAAATGTGAAGGAAATATATAGTTGCTATGTTGCAGAAGTATACGCTTCTGTCATAGCATATAGATCTATAAACATGCTATACGCTCACATATACAATGAGATTCACCTCCGCCCACCACCAAATTACTCCTCGGCAAAGAGGGAATTGCCTGATATTCAAGTCTCTATAGTGTTTTTGATATAACAGGGTGTTCTCTTAATTACCTTATTTTGAACCACAAAGCAGTAAACTAAAATAATCTCAATCAGTGCTAGTTTTTTCATGCTTATAGAGGCACCTGATAGCATCTGTTTAAAAAAAAAAAAGGCAAAGAAAGTTAGCACAGGTTTAGTCATTATTCCTGGGGATATGACCACACAATTGCAAGTGTAGTATGTCATTTTAAACAAGACTTTTAACAGTGACTTTAAAAAAGCAATTCACTGAGTGGTTACTTTGTGAAGATCACCTTTGGGACCAATAAACAAACCAACTCTCCTAATGTTAGGTGAATGGGTACTTGTGGCTTTGGTTACAACTTTCCAGTGGTAGAGTCATAAAACAAGTGCTATATTTCAGACAACTTAAAACTGAAAATGGTGTGCTCTAGAAGGTAGATCCTCATGGTGACAGTATTAGTACTTAGTGAACAAATTTTATTTTATAAATAAAAATAGTATTTTTCCTTAAAATTTGTTGCAAGGCAATAGTTACAGTCCTGAGGACTTACTCAGGGGCTATTATGTGAAAATCACACTTGAAAACAAAAATTATTATTAAATTTGTTGCAGGAAGTAAGTTGGTAGAATTAGTATGGTTGTTTAGTTTCATAGCAATTCCAAAATACACCAGCAGATGGAGAGGTTCTTTGCTAAAAGGGCTGAAGTCTTTTGCTAATGAGGTGGAGTTTGAAAGCCCAGCAGCTGCTTTTAAAAGCTACATATTAGAGCATAGAAAAAGCAAATAAAAATATAGCCACTTCTGGATTTCAGGAATTTTCATAATAGATGCAGAGGAAAGATAATATAAATTAATTAATAATATGGAAAAGCTGAATGGTGCATTTGTTCTTGCTTACTCTTTTTTCATCATAAGAATCGTGTACAATTTTAAGTTCAAAGTTAACTGATTTCCTACTGGAATATAGATAGGCTCACGAATGAAATTTAACATTCCATTTTAAAGATCAGATAAAAAGTTTCAAAACCAGGGTTTGTGCATGTTTTAATTCAAACCATAGCTTATTTTGAAAGGGGCTTTTTCTTTCTGACTTAGGGTTGTCAGGGTTTGTACTCCTGGTGGCAAAATGTTAACCTTATTACTATTGGTGCAGCAGCTTTCTATGACCAGTTCTGAAAAAATCTGTAGGCACTGAGGTAGCCAATAAAATGCCAGTTTTGCAAATTGATTAATGATTGCTTTCAATTAGCATGTGCTTTCAAAATTATATTTTTAATCTTCATTTTCACAAAAAAGTCTAAAGCAACCTTTTATTTATATACTGCTTATCAGACTGTATTTTTTAACCTATTTAACTTTAACTCAGGAAATATTTAAATATTAAAATATACAAAATCAATAGGCTTAGCTAGTCATCTCCCATAAATTATTATTCACTGTGAGCATCAACTGTTTGTGAATACTTTATTTGCTACTGTGGTTAGTCTTGATTCATTTTGTATGATGCAATCCGTGTTCTACTATTAAAGAAACATGAATATATCCATGTTGTTAGGTGCCATCAAGTCAGTTCCGGCTCATAGCGACCCTACGTACAACAGAATGAAACATTGCCCGGTCCTGCACCATCCTCACAATTGTTGTTATGCTTGAGCCTAGAATATATCCATAGCATACTACATATAAAAATTTTTTTAGGGCTAATGACTTTTTGATTGAGGTTATGCAGTAGTATGTTTCTTAAAGCACATGGAAAAGTAGCTTTTATGTAATGGCTTGAAGAAGTATTGCGAGCTTTGTATAATTAAGTATTATACAAAGATCACCCCATTTTAGCACCAAGCCTATATTTGTGAAATTATTTTACATCAGCATTGTCTCTCTCTGTTTAGGTGAAATGGAGACAGAAAGCCAGCCCAAGAGACTCTTCCAAGGCACTACCAACATGCTGTCTACTGATGCTGCCCAATTGTCTGATCTGAGCTCATGGTAAACAATGAAATAAAATCAAAAGGGTGTTAAGGATACGATCCATTTAAAAAGAGCCACATGAAGCATTCATTGGGATAATTCAAAACATACTCACCTTTTGACCTGTGCTCATAGAGGGGAAATCTCCATGGAAGCGTAGATGTGAAAAAGCAGATAATTTGAAAGTCATGAGTACTTCCCTTGGAAGTGTGTATATCTGGCACCTTTCACTTTCATTCCTAACTCCTGTTAGGCCAGCCTCTCTCAATAGATGCTAAAGGTGTGGTAGAGCATCAACAGCTGCATGGTGTGGGAAAGTTTCTGGGTTGCTGTGGGTAATGTGCATTAATTGTAGGTGCTCTGCCTGCATTTTGTCTTATAGCCTTTTAACGTAGCAGAGAATACCAGCATTTTCTTAAGCATGGTAGTCTCTAAATAATATTATCTATTGTTAACAAAATTTGAGGGTATTCCATTTTTTGTGGTTCCGTTTTTCTAGTAACACTTTCTGATTCTTATGCCCTATTCACATAAATGCTTTTTTAGTCTTAGTCATCCTAGTTTAGGTCTCTAACTTAAGGACCTTCCATGTTTTTATGGTAGTTAACTTCTCTTCCTATCCCTGAAGTTGAGCCCTTAGATGCTGATATAGTAGAACGAAAGGGACGAGGTAGTAGCAGTGACCAGCTATTATTTTGAAACCCACTCACCGAGTACCCATGTTCTAGATGCAATTGTGTACTGCCTTTCACAACTTTTTTGTTCCCTAAGTTTTACAGTGAGAGTCTTTTAAAAGCCCATGAAGGCACTCATTTTAAAAATAAAAGGATGGTACCCTCTAAATGAAAGAAGTGTGAAGGTCACTTATAAGGGGTAAGAATTGACACTTCCTTCTTCCCCAATCACTCATTCATTGTTTTGTGTGAAATAATCTGTACTTGTAGTTGGTCAAGAAGTCACAAGTTATTCTTGTTTATTAAGCATGTTGATCAGTACCGTTCTAACCTTGGAACAGATGCCTTTTAGATTGTTCTGTCTATTTTCAGCCCCACGATCTCTTTACCCTCTCATCTCTGTCTGTCCTTGGTAGCTCAGTGTGCTAATTTTGGTACAGAGTGCCTTTCTAGGTACGTAGATGATTGCAGAGAGAAACTTCTGAAGCTTGTCAAGAGGACTAGTGGATGAAACTGTATACTTAGTTGAAACCGCCTGTCACTTTTATGGTAAAGTGTGTTTTAATATAGGCTTGTAGCTATAAATAGGTTTCTTTACCCAGTTACTAACCAAGTAACCAAGTGAGGTAAAAGACATGAAAGCATTTTGCCAACATCATACAGGGCGAGTTGATTTTTCTTTTTGTATCGTCTTAGGCTGACTGTCCAGGATGCCATAAGCAGGTTCAAGTGAATAAGTAAGAAAGGAAGGAAGGTCCAGTATTTACCAAGGGTCCCCTTGTTCAGACTTGTATCCCTCTGAGCACCATGACCTAAGCTGTCTGTGATGGTAGCTTTGGTGGACTTCTGTTTCTTGTTCCACTACTCACATATCCTTAGACCTATGACTGGCTGTGGGAACTCTGGGAACATCGACATTGGTGATGGAGGAAGATTCTGATCCTCAAACACAAAAAGCTGTTGCTTCAAGTTAGAGAGAAGATTTACTTTATTCACACCCATCCGTAGAGTACTAACAAGCCAAGACATGGTTCAAGTAATATGTTACAAAGAGTTCTTTTTCTTTCTTAACGTTTTCTAAAGGAAATTTTAAGACCTACGTAAAAATAGAAAGAATGGTGTAATGGACTCCCATGTACCCATCACCCACCTTCAACAGCTATCAGCACACAACCAATCTTGTTTGATCTATTTCCTCCCCCTCCTCCTGTGGAGAATTTTAAAGCAAATCATAGACCCAGAAATACTAGAAATAATTTTAGTATTTTCCTTAGTTAAATACTTCTTCATATGATAACCATTACCAGTCAAATTTAGTTGAAGGGTATTAGATCTTTAGTTTTTATCCGTATTTATTTAGTCAGTCTTTGAGAACCTATAGCCTTTTCGCTATTTGATTTTTTAATTTTGAATGTCCTTAATTTGTAGATTTTAGTCTTATTAAAGGCTAGCCATCTTTAAATTCCTATCAGATCTCTTTTCTGAGTAAAAATACAGGGTGTCCCAAAAGTCTTAGTGGAGAAGTTCACATGCTATACCCATTGCCACTGAGTCGATTCCGACTCATAGCGACCCTATAGGACAGAGTAGAACTGCCCCATAGGGTTTCCAAGGCTGTAATCTTTACGGAAGCAGACTGCCACATCTTTCTCCCATAGAGCAGCTGGTGGGTTTGAACAGCCAATCTTTCAGTTAGCTGTTGAGAGCTTAACTGCTGTGCCACCAGGGTTCCCATTCAGATGCTGTCTACTTACAAAATGTATCATTAAAGTTTAATTACTTAAATTTCTTTACACTTAGTTTTGTGATTTTTGAATAGGTATTTAATTTTAATTTTTGTTTTAATATTTGCCATCTTCAATCAGAGGGATTGAAATAAAATTAAAATATTATTCAAGACAACCTAAAAAATGGAAAAAATATTTGATAACCATATATCTGATAAGGATTTAATATCCAATATATAGAGAGAACTCCTACAACTCAACAACAAAAAGACAAACAACCCAATTAAGAAATAGGCAAAGGACTTAAATAGACATTTCTCCAAAGAAGATATACAAATGGCCAATAAACACATGAAAAGATAACTCAACATCATTAATCATTGGGAAAAAGCTAATCAAAACTACAATGAGATACCACTTCTTACCTGTTAGGATAGCTATTATCAGGAAAATAGGAAATAAGCACTGAGGAGGATGTGGAGAAATTGGAACTCTCGTACATTGCTGGTGGGGATGTAAAATGGTGCAGCCACTGTGGAAAACAATTTGGCAGTTCCTCAGACGTTAAACATAGAATTACCATATAATCGAGCAATTCCACTCCTAGGCATATACCCAAAAGAATTGAACACAGGTACTTAAATAAATACTTGTACACGAATGTTCATAGCAGCACTATAGCCAAAAACTAAAAACAACTCAAGTGTCCATCAACAGATGAATGGATAAACAAAATGTGGTATATACATACCATGGAGTATTATTCAGCCGTAAAGAGAAATGTAGTTCTGATACATGCTACAACATGGACAAACCTTGAAAACATTATACTGAGTGAAATAAGTCAGACACAAAAAGACCGATATTGTATCCCACTTATATGAAATAGCTAGAATAGGCAAATGCATAGAGACAGAAGTTTATTAGTGGTTACCAGGGCCTTGGGGCAGTCAGTGGAGAATAAGGAGTTATTGCTTAAGGGGAACTGAATTTGTGTTTGGGGTGATGAAAAACTTTTGGAAATAGATAATGATGCTGGTAGCACAACATGGTGACTGCAATTAATGTCCCTGAATCATACACTTAAAAATGGTTAAAACGGCACATTTTTGTTAGATGTATTTTACCACAGTAAATTTTTTAAAATTGTTATTCCAAATTCTCAAAACTTAAGTGTCAAGAGAAATTTACAAGTTAAATTTTCAAATGGTGTGTTTTGTAAGTTTGTAGCATCTATATGTCTCAGATTATTAAAGCTTACAATTGCACTAAGACTTGGAACACCCTGTGTACTAATATTGCCAACATTTATGTCTACAATAAGAGATTAAAACTGAGTTATTCCTTTTATGTAAAAATTGGATCTTTTGCAGAAACTTTTTTTCTATCTCTTTAATACACTTTCATTGATTATGCATCCATATTCTTGGAAATAGGGCCAGAAACAGGAACCAGCTGCCATCTAGGATATCAGTCTACTTGATAGTGAAACTAAGGAAACCGTTTTTATACTATCTCTTAGTGAGCAGAAAAAATAATCAGGTCATTTAAATAGCTGTAGTTTTTGCCCTGCCCCATCCCTACAAAGAAGAAGAAGAGACAGGGTTTACCCTTTAAAGTTTTTATACCAGATAATAATTTTTAAAATCGTTATACTAAGCTAGTTTAGTGAAAACGTCTGGGTAAAGATTTACCAAGTTCTGAATCTAAACTGCAGTGGAGGCTCAATGTAAGTATGCTATTTTTTTTCTGGTAATAAACGAAATTATATATGCTTATATGTAATAGTAGAGAAGAAATTCTTGAAACTACATGAAATGAAATGTTCAGGTTCGTATTTTTTTCTGATTTTCTTGGTAACTTCTCCGTTAGCTTATTTCTCTTAAGGTCATCAACTGTGTTAGAAGACAGATTTCATTGCATGAATCATGTTTTGTGTTTTTGAATGAATACAGGGTTCACCTAAGCAAAGAGGTCTTATTAGAAATGCGATCTTTTAACCCAGGGTTCACCATAAGTCTGGTGGTCGGAATAAGAAGTTCTTTATTAATATTCAGATTATCTACTTGGTGGCCAAATTTTAATCTAAGCTCCTTTCTTCCTGCCAAGTAGCACAGATCATGTCCTGCTGCTGCCCAGCCAGTATGTGCTTTAGGAAAGTAAATTCATTTTAATATTAGTCTAGGCAAAAAGCTGCAGGAGGAAAAATCACATATGTTCCAAAAGCAAATATATAAAGGTCTTTTGATTTTCCAATGTCTTAGATTATCTGTGCAACTTTCTTTCAGTAGTTTGAATAATTTATAGTTTAGACTCATTTTGCCATATGGTTGAAAAAAATATCAGAGCCAGCTAAATTTTCCAAACTTCTTACTTAAAAGTGATTTTATTAATGATGCATTTGATGGCAGTGAGCATACAGTAGGATTACTGTGGAATATACTGGTTCCAGTTTTATTTTTATTTTTCCAAAGCCTATTTATATTCTGTCCCCACCTTAAAAAAAAAACACAGGAAATAGGAAGAAAAGACATTTTGAAGAAAAGTAGAAGAGCAGAGATGCAGGGAGAGAAAAAAAAAAGTTTTATTTCTCCAAGGGTGGTATAGGGCCCGGAAACTTCCAAATGTACCATAGATTAGTTAATACTGAAAATAAATTCACTTGGAAATTCATTAAGATAATATTAATGACACATAACTCGGAGCATGTTAGACCAGAATGGGCTTTTGCAAAGGAGCCACTGACCAAGCTTAAAGTATAACCTGTATTACCTTACTTATAACTCCTTCTTTAATTCTATGCGTTTTCCTTTTCAAAACTAAAAGTATGTCTGTGCAAATCCTAAAACTGCCTGACTGCCTCTCCCAACTTTCTCTCTCACCATGTTCCACTTATTCTCTGTACTACAGCCACACTCGCCTGCTTTGGTTTCCTAGAACCACCCTCGCTTCCTCCTACACCTTACATAGTTAATGCCTACTCATCTTCAGATTGTGGCTCAAATGCCGTTTCTGGGGAGCCTTTCCCTGTTTTTCCAACTAACATCAGGTCACCCATGTGATATACTTTCATAGCCCCTTGTATCTTTCTTTCATTACTTTTCTGACAGTTTGTAATTATATGTTTATTAGCATGATGATTTTTTAAATGTCTTTTGCACTGTACCATAAATCCGGTGAGGGCAGGGACCGTGTCTGTCTTACACACCATTGTATTTCTTTCTTTAATTTTTTTTATTGTTGTAGTTTAAATGAAGTTTACATTTCAAGTTAGTCTCTTATACAAAAATTTATACATACATTGTTAAGTGACCCTAATTGCTCTCCCTATACTGTGGCAGTACACTCCTCCTTTCCACCCCTGATGCCCCATGACCATTCAACCAGCTCCTAACCTTCTCTGCCTTCCCATCTCACCTCTGGACAGGAGCTGCCCATTTAGTCTCACTAAATCTACTTGAGCTAAGAGGTACACTCCTCACGCGTATCACTTTATGTCCCACAGTGCAGTCCAATCCCTGTCTGAAGAGTTGGCTTCGGAAATTGTTTTAGTTCTGGGCTGATAGAGAATCCAGGGACCATGCTTTCCAGGGTTCCTCCAGTCTCAGACCATTAAGTCTGTTCTTCTTACTAGAATGAGTTCTGCACCCCGCCTTTCTCTTGCTCCATCCAGGACTCTCTGTTGTGTTCCCTGTCAGGGTGGTCACTGGTGGTAACTGGGCACCACCTAGTTCTTCTGGTCTCAGGCTGATGAAGTCTCTGGTTTATGTGGCCCTTTCTGTCTCTTGGGCTAATATTTTCCTTGTGTCTTTGGTCTTCTTCATTCTCCTTTACTCCAGGTGGTTGGGACCAATTGATGCATCTTAGATGGCCGCTTGCAAGCTTTTAAGACCAGATGCTACTCACCACAGTAGGATGTAGAACATTATCTTTATGAACTGTGTTATGCCAGTTGACCTGGATGTCCCCTGAAAGCATGGTCCCTGGACCCCTACCCCTGATACTCTGTCCCTCAAAGTGTTTGATTGTATTCAGGAAACTTCTTAGCTTTGGTTTAGTCCCATTGTGCTGACTTCCCCTGTAGTGTGTGCTGTCCTTCCCTTCACCCAAGATAATTCTTGTCTACTATCTAGTTAGTGAATAACCCTCACCCTCCCTCCCCACCCTCATAACCATCAAAGAATGTCGTCTTCTGTGTTTAAACCTTTTCTCGAGTTCTTATAATAGTGGTCTTATGCAGTATTTGTCCTTTTGTGACTGACTAATTTAACTCAGCATAATGCATTTCAGATTCATCCGTGTTATGAGATATTGTGCAGATTCATTGTTGTTCTTTATCATTGCATAGTAATCCCTTGTGTGAATATACCATAATTTGTTTATCCATTTGTCCATTGATGGGCACCTAGGTTGTTTCCATATTTTTGCTAATGTGAACAGTGCTGCAGTGAACATAGGTGTGCATATATCTATTCGTGTGACGGCTCTTATTTCTCTCGGATATATTCCAAGGAGCGGGATAGCTGGATCATATAGTACTATTTCTAGCTTTTTAAGGAAGC